AAAAAAAATACTAAATTTTGTCTCTATGGCTCTCGAAAAAATTCAACTTTTTATAAAAACTAAAAGATTCAATAGTATTGACTTGTTTCTTTCTCACACCTCAAGATACCTTATAAAAGTACAATCTATTTTTTGCGGCCTCTAAAGCCTCTATGATAATCTTCAAAATAAATTAGTAATCATGCAACACGTTAAGTGTAACGAAAGAATTCATATTTCTCATTTATTGATCTATCATTGGAGATATAATTTCTTACCTTTCAAATTTTCTACTAATGTACAATCTATTCATAAACTCTCCAAAAAACAATCTTTGATGATCTTCATAAAACAAAAAACAACCTTTACCTTTAATCATATTTATTTAAGGAATTCAAATTTATCTCTTATTAAGAGATAACAATTTTCTCATAGTCAAATTCAATCACATTGTCTAAAAATAATTAAATCTTTCATTGCATTCATCATATTCCCAAAACATGCATTCATATACTACTCTGTTGTATGATCAAACTCTCTCTTAAAATCACCAAATAGTAGAGATAATAAAACTTACAAAGTAAAAAAAAAACTAATGTTTTAATGGCACCACAAGTAAAGACAAGAAAATGATATTCTAAAATCATAAAATTTGTATTCATCATTACAAGATCATAGTTACAAGATCGACACCTCCTCCATTACATTCTCTCTTATTCATACTTACAATGAATCCTCTAAGACTCAATCTATAACAAACAATAGGAAAATTAAGTCATCTCCAATAAATATTTTTTCTTCAATTTACAAAATAAAATGAGCCTACAAGAGCTTAAACAATTCATTTAACATACATTAACAATTACCATTCAATGTAGTATACACTATAAAAAAACCACAAGTTCTACCAACAAGCTAACTGCAACAGGTTTAAGAATTCTTTCATTGATAAATTATTAAAGAGCCAATGTGACTTGAAACAAATAAAAGTACTATGCATACCAATCTTCATCACCATTCATCAATATTAGCCCTATCCCACCAATTTGGAATGGCGCTTTGATTCTCACTTTACAACTAATTCCCTATTAAATGTGCACTATTACTTGAATCTATCCTAGCGAACCTCCTGACAGCAATATGATAATATCTCAGTTTTCAATATGATGAATTTGTCATGTATAAAGGACATATGACAGGACAACAAAATAATATAAAAATTTGTTTGAGTGATTCATATATAAAGAGATTGTTTTCATGATTCAACTAAGACACCTCCAAGAGATGAAGAAATTGTAAACATTTGAAAGAAATTATAGGCAACAAGTTTTTATACATAATAAAAGAAATATAACAAGCTGAAAAATTGCGATAGGAAGAACAAATCATTCTCTGTTACCCTGTCGCCAATTCTCTTTACATCTATCATCTTACAAGTTGCCTGCAAACGATTTATTAATACTCTCACTAAAAACAGTCTAAAAAATGTTCATATCCCTCTTTATAGCTAGTGGATCAACTCAACCGACAAGGGGTAGTTAGCACTGCTCCGGTAATGACAGGTTACCATGGTAAATCAAAATTGGAAATAGGAAGGAAGACGAAACACAAGAGCAAACAGAAATTTATAATTTTTTCACTAAGTAAATGAATCATATAAGAAAAGAAAAAATGAAGCATTGGAAAGATTGAATAGTTGACATTGAAAGAAAAATAGAATTTTGGAGTAATAAACTTAATGCGCCTCAACCAGAAAAAAATCTCTTTAACAGTCATCTTATCGAGCAAGGCATAAAACTGACAATTCATCAAGCAACTAAAGGAAATAACCTAGACATAAAAACCAAAAGATAAAACAGAACAAAGACCTCAGGGCTCCCCAGAGAAGCTAGATTTTCTCCAGATCCAATCAAGCCGTGAGTAGCACAGCTCCCCCGTTAGCCTTAATCTTCTTCTCAGCAGTCTTCGAGATTAGTTTAGCCTTCACAACAACGGGCTGCGACGCAGGAAGCATTCCTTTGCCGAGTACCTTGAAATATCCGAACTGTGTGACGTCAATCAAAGGCGCTTTGCCGCCTGGCGCCGCGACTGCAGCGGCCTTAACTTCTTCAGGCACGAGAGACCAGAGGCGATCGATGTTGACAGTGGGGCAATAAAACTTGTTACGGAGGCGATGGAAATATCTCATACCAACCTTGCCAAAGTAACCAGGATGGTACTTGTCGAAGAGGATTCGATGGTGGTGCATACCGCCGGCGTTTCCGCGACCGCCGGGCTGCTTACGGTGCTTTCCGA